CGTGGAGGGGTCGTGTGTGGGGACCTGTGCGTGTCGGGCTCTCGGCCTGTGACAGGCAGCGTGTGCAGCGCCCCGTGCAGCGGGAATGTGGCGGTGAGCACTGGCCTGTGCGCGCCCTGTGGCCGTAAATGTTAGGACCCGCATTCACCGGCCGCTGTAGCATCCCGCCCCCTGAGCCACCCCGGCTGCCCAGTCCTGAGACCCGGAACAAGCGACCTCTCACTCCAGGCCTCTCTGGTCTGCCTGGACGACCCCCTGCTCTCAGAAGCAAATATGGGGTGAGGAGCTAGAGGGCGGGGCTAGGGCAGCCCCTACCCTGCCTTGCCCTCAGCTCCCCCTCCTCCCCAATCTCTGTCTCCATCTGTTTCCAATAAATGAATGTAGTCAACTCTGAGCCTTGTGCGTCTCTGTCGGCCTTCTAAGGCTGCATCACACGGGAACCAAGGTGGGCTTCCCAGATGTCCTTTGTCCCTGGGCTCTCATCAGCCTCAGGCCTTCGAAAGGCCACTCTGGGCTCTCACATGGTGAGCCACACTCCGGCTCCCAGGAGAGAGGAAAGCAGGGCAGAGGTGAGCAGTGGCTGGGCAGGGCCTGTCTCTTGGTCGAAGGCTGCACCTGCACCGCGCGTCCTGCGCTTCACTCTGCCGCCACTGCCTTCCAGGAAGCAGCCGGAGCGGCTTCTGTCAGTGCTGGGCCATACGCTTCACTTCTCCAGCGCCTGAAGCTTGAGGGGACGTCACTCATGTCAGGTGAGGACCCTCGTACCTGAGTGAGTCACGGACTCCTACAGGCACAAACACACGAACGTGACAAAAAGCTTCCCAAATCCTCTGACCTGGCTTTCTCTTCTTCGTGGAGACCCTTTGGAGGTTTAGGGCCCTGCCATAGCTGCTGCTTTGCCTCAGACACAGCAGACAGCACACAGCAAGGTGATGGAGGCTGCTGTGTCTCTCCACAGCTGAGTGGAATGTAGGCTGTGTGCTCACTTGCTCTTGTTTGCACAAGTCTAAGACAGGGATGACAAAAGGAACCCCAACTCAAGGAACCCCGAACTTAAGAGACCCCTAAGTCAAGGGGCCCCCAATCCAAGGGACCCCCATCTAGGGGTCCCCAACCCAAGGGACCCCCACCTCAAGGGGCCCCCAACCCAAGGGACCCCCACCTCAAGGGGCCCCAACTCAAGCCAGGCCTTGAGTGCCATTGGTTGCCCTACCGTCACTCTCTCACCTTGCTGAGCTCTGACCCTCACTTTCCTCCTTACTGTCCGGCTACACGACCTCCACGTCCTCCAGGCTTTGGGTTTGTGAGCACTCGGTGAGTGTAGGGTAGGGTGTAAACAGACCCCACAAGGACAGTTAGTCGAGATTTTCAACCTAACTGGTTCTGGGGTCAACCAAGAAACCTGTTTCTGCGTAGACCTGTCTTCCTGGGAAGACTGGCTGAGGGAAGGCCCTCCCTGAGAGGGGGCAGCGCTGCCCGGCAGTGGCCCAGTAGGAAGGGGTCTGAAAGAAAGGCGACGCTGCTCCCGCCTGCCTGTCTCTGCTCCCTGTGGGTGAGAGGCCCTCCTTGAGGGCATCTAGTCTGCCATTTGCAGGGATGCTGGCGTCCTTGTTTCCTCAGCCTCGTAGGCTGAAGGTCAATGGTTCTCCAGAGCTGGGAGTTCAGTCTCATGGCTTCAGCGGCTACTAGCAAACAGCCAGCATCCCTGCATGGTGCGTGCGTGTAATGTGTACACGTTATTTGGGCTCCGTTCCTCTAGGAGCTTCTGGTTGAAGCAGCGGCTGTGCTGGTTAGGGGCGTGACACCAGGAGTCAAGAAGAAGTGGCGGTGGGCTGGAACAGCTGAGCAGCATTCTGGGAAGGGTTCCTCCACTGCCCCTTCCCCTGGGCCTGTCTGCCTGCTGCGGCTCTACCTGCAGCCGAGGGAGGCCAGCCAGCCTTGCTCTCTGTACAGCGTGCTGGCCGTGCAGACTGGAACAGAGCACGCGCTTGCATACACCAGGCCCTGGGCTCCCTCGCCTGCACTGCAAGGAACAGTTTTAAATCCCGCAGGATGGGACGGACTAACAGTGGGGAGGGACACAGCATATCCCTGGGTAGGTCAGCTCAGACTGCCAGCTCTCCATCTGTCTGAAGCTACCTATGCGAATGAGACAGGCACTGTCCTGGGGGCTAAGCAGAGCCGTGAATCCAGCTGAGCACGCAGCACTCCCAGTGAGTGAGCGAGCGCTGTGAAGCATGAGGCAGGAAGGCATTTCCTGTGGTGGGTGTGCTGAGCCAGTGGGAGGCCAGCAGGAGGGATCAATGGTGGGGGTTCCCAAGGACTCTTCCCCTGAGGGCCCTTCATGCAGGTGAGACCTTGACAATTCCGTGTGAGCAGAGTACAATTTATTAAGGGGGAGAGAGGGGAGAGGGAGACAGAGAGACAGGCCTAAGACTGTGTGTATGTGTGTGTGTGTGTGTGTGTGTGTGTGTGTGTGTGTGTGTGTGTGTATTTTGTGGCTTTTAACTCGCATTGCTCAAAGGATCTAATTTATAACCAGGCTACAAAGTTAAAGTATAAAAGTAAAGTTTAAATTTTAAGGAAAAAACATACACACTGGCTTCCTTCTCTCATCTTACACACTTTCTTACACACTTCCCTGTCGTGGGAGCGGAAGAGCTGGCCCAGCCGTCAGGAACACCTCTTGCGCTCTCCCACAGGACCTGAGTTCAGTTCTCAGCAACCATGGCACGGGCTCACAACCGCCGCTAACTCCAGTTCTAGGGGATCTTCAGGAACCTGTGTGCACGCTGCAAACGCTCACACAGACGTGCACACGTACACACAAAACTAAAGAAATAAGTCTTTCAAAGATGAGAATGAAACTGTAAGGTGATTTGTGAGTCTAGATTAAGAGACGAATGCCTGAAAGTTAGCTTCAGAGTCCTGTGCTTGGTCCTTACCAAACGAGGCCTGAGTGTTGCTCTGACACTCATTTCCGATCAATAACGCTCATTTCCGATTTCCTCTGCCCGGGCTTCTTTCCTCTTTGGGAGGTCTTCCCTGATTCAGGCAACGTGTTAAATTCAGCCATTTTCCCCCTTCCAATGACCCTAATTTCCCGTCTTCCTCTCACACCTCACCCTTGTAAAGAGAAGAATGACCGAACTGGGGACAGCCCTGCTCCCTTCAGAAGTCACCCCAACTCGGAACCAGTGACTCCCCATAAGGCCACGTGGGGAGCCCCTTCCGTCCCAGGCTGGACCATGACCCACAGCTTGGGTAACATCTCCGAGAATGGGTCCCAAACCACAGATATTCTGGTGACTCAAATGGCCCTAGCCCAGAAAAGTAGTCCTACCTGGGCCCAGACTCGGGATCTCAGGACAGACAGCAGGCAAGTGGAAGCCATGGGGGTTAGGGGGACACTGAAGCCAGGATGCAGGCAGCTAGCCGGAAGTCCTTCTGGCTGCCAGCCCCTTAGATATTCCTGACCTCACTTCCCTCAAGGCCCCCTTCCCTGACACACATGCTGGAACTGGAGCTAGAAAAACTGACCTTGAAAACCTAACTCACTAGCTACAAGGGACCTAGACCTGGACACAGGGAGTTCACAGGTGGGGGGGGGGGGACGCACCTCCCACACACACACCCGGGGCTCCTTGTGTTGAGAGAGTTGGTAAAAATGAGGATTTGGTTAGAGAAAACCGGAGATGACCTGCTGGGGCCGATGAGCTGTGCGTGGCTAGGCTACCAGCAAGCCAAGTTTCCATCCATTCCTTTTCCATGAGACTGTCATGTTTACCCAAGAAAGGAGTCTTTTGGATACCTGTCCCTCAGGTGCTGCATCAGGAAAACTGCCTTAAAAGGCGATGCTGGGCCTCTGGCTAGTGACGCACCCGTGCCCCACCCAGAGACGTGGAGAGCAAGAACTGCTGTTCCCAAGACACACTGGTGACATAATCCTTTTCGCAAGGTAAAAGAATGTGAACTCTCCAAACAGATTCAGCTCTCCAGCCCACCTTCCTCAGGCCACGCCCACCCCCACCCCACCTTGTCCAAGTGCAGTCACCTTGGGAAAACTCACACCGAAATATCCCTCCGGACTGGACGCAGGCGTGAGGTCACTTCCTGTGGCTCAGTGTGTTGCTCTCGGCCAGTTCCTGAAGGAGAACTCCGGCCGGGGCCACCCAGCTACAGCAGCGAAGACTTTTCACTTCCCCAGCCCACCCCATCCTTCTGTATTCCTGTGGCCAGCTAAGAACTATCCTTTCACCGCCATTCAAGAAGAGCTGGGAGCTGCGCCTGCTTGTCACCCCAGCACTTGGGGTGCTGGGGCAGAAAAATTTGACTTCAGTCCGGGGCTGCACAGGAAGGTCCATGCCCGTCTGAGTAGCATAACGGGACCCTGTCTCTAAAACAAGTGGGAAGGGCGTCTGGAATGTAGTTTCCCAGGCATGTTCAAGTCACTGGGTTTGAGCCTCAACTCCAAAGCCAGGATTGGGGGAGTGAAGGAGTGAGTGAGTCCCCTGTCCCTCTCCGTCCCTCTGCCGGAGAGTTGACTGTGACCCCAGGCACACGGTCTGTGGAGTTTACCCTGCCTCACTTGCGACACCCTCCAACTCACCCGCCCCATCCCCATCGTAAAGACCCCGTCGTACAATAACAAGTCACTCAAAACTAAGTCACCTTGCACCCACAGGCCATAATGTTCCTTCATGGTATTCCTGGTTGGAGCCGTGGGGTGGCCTGGAAGTCAGGTTCAGACAGGCTGGCTGCTTAGCCACCGCAGAACATTTTTATTAAAGGAGCAAGTTTGTATTAACGGGGGGGGGGGTAGGGCAAGTCAGAGGGGCAGAGTGCAGGGTTCAGGTCAGCCACAGCCATGTCTACGTCTAGTTCTAGGTGAGGTGCCAAAGGGAGAGGTGAGGCAAGGGTCAGCTCTGTGGGTAAGGGAACTGAGACCCAAGTCTTTGGGCAGAAGCCTGATTTTTCTAGTCTCCCTCATAGGGACCCGTTCAACATTCACGGGAGCCAAAGCCCCCGACACAACTGGTGGAGCTGCAGGGAACGAAGCCACCACCGGGGGCGCTCATGTCCAGGCTACTGGAACCAACTCTGTGTGCTTGCAGCGGAGCAGGGGTCAGGCCTGGACCTCCAGTGACGTCACCGTCGGGGGCTGTGCCGAGAGACCAGAGGGAGGACTCAGGGAAGCCTTCCGGCCCAGAGAGGCTCCTCAGCACCAGACAGGAGGCAGTGCTCCCCGAGGGAGCAGACAGGTTGTCCTCCGGCCCAGAGCACCCACAGAATCACTCTCTGAGAAGAAACAGCCCGCCACCGCCACCATCTGCACAGAGACAGAGGCCCCTCTCTGCCTTCTCCCGGACTGAGGGAACCAGGGAGGGATGACAGCCAATCTCACATCTTACCGAGTTACTTACCCACACTCCCTGACCCAAGGCCCAGACCAAGCCTGTGGCAAAAAGAAACAACAGCTAAGTCAACCCACCTCCCAGCTTTCCCAGGAAGGATGCCTCCCAGACCGGATAGAGCCTGCCAGCTTGCAGGCTCCTGGGCCCTGGCCTTGGCTCCTCTCACTGACTCCTTGTCTTGGTGGACAAATGGCTGTACTGTCTGACCCTGACTCAGCCCACACCCCATGCTGGGCCTTCTTGATCAAGGAGCCATGAAAGTGTGGAAAGGCTGGCCGCAAGAGAGCCAAGGCCTGGCACCCTTTCCTCACCTCCGCTCCTCGCCCTCCAGCAGGCGCCTGTAGGTGGCGATCTCGAAGTCCAGACCCAGCTTGACAACCATGAGCTCCTGGTACTCTCGAAGCTGCCGAGCCATGTCCTGCTTGGCCCGCTGCAGGGCGGCCTCCAGCCAGGCCAGTTTTCCCTTAGCGCTGACTGAGGCCATGTCATGCAGGGCCTTCAAGTCCTTGGCTTTCTCTACTTCACAAGGCTGGGAACGAAGCAAAGAGCACAGACGTCTTCAGCCTCATTCCTCCGGCCTCAGGGATCGAGGCGGTACTCGAAGCAGGTGTGAGGATGATCCCTGGGCAGGAGGAAGCAGGGTCTGGTCTCTCCGAGATCTGTGTGCTTGTTTAAACCTATCTGCACCAATGCCCTCAGCCTTCGTAACACTGTGACCCTTTAATACGGTTCCTTAGGTTGTGGTGACCCCCCCAAGTTATAACCGTAGTTTTAATACTGCTGTGAATTGTAGTTAAATATGTGATATGTGCCCCCCCGAAGGGGCCATGACCCACAGGTTGAGAACCACTGATTTAGACCATGAGCTTCCAAACAAATGTGCTTGCCCACCCCCTGCACTCAAGATTGACAGTGGAGACCACCCCCTGGAATGGCCAAGAACTGTGTCTCAATGATGGCAGTCTTCACGTGAGGGAAGATTAGGGATGTGTCAAATGTTCTTTGTCGAGATAACTGGGATCAGTGTTTCTTAAGGATTGTGCAGGGTCTGGAGGTGAAAGCCTGCACTCCCAGCTGCTCAGGAGGCCGAGGCAGGGGAATGAGAAGTTTAAGGCCTTTCTGAGCTGCAGAGAGTTCAAGGCCAGCTTGGGAAAGCTTGTGGAGGCCTCACATCTCACTGAAGAAGGATACAGGGTTGGGAAATCTCTCAGTAGCAGAGTGCTGACCTACTATGCGGGTGACTCTGCCTGCTACTCCCCCCCCCCCGCATCCCACCCAAATCTCCAACACATGAGAAACACAGACTGCTCTCCCGTAGGATCCGGGGTGCACATCTCTGGAAACACTGTTTGCAACACTGTCTTGGTGAGGTGCCTGCTGCTTGGGTAATCAGGGCAGCTGTGTGGTTAGGGGAGACTCACTGGGGCCTTCCCACACTTTCTGTGTCCACGGGGACCCCAAAGTCACCCGTTCCTGGACAAGGAGCCATAAACAGCGAATCAAGCCCAAGACACTTGTGTCTGCAGAAAGCGAGACAAGACCCAGAACAGAGGCCCTGGGTAGAGGGCACAAAACGAGCCAGGCAGGCTTAGAGAAGTCTTGGGGGAGGGGTGGGGCTGGGGGTGGATAAGAGCCTGGGAGAAAGAAGATATCCATGAGCATTCCATGTGCCTGAGCCTGAGTCTCAACCCCCTTCAGGCTGGCCTAGAGGAAGTGAAAAAGATGAAGAGCCAAACACATAACATCCTGTTCCCAGAGGGACTAGGCCTCTCCCTTCCCTGGAGTGGCCAGGACTTTTCCCATCCGCTTTCAGTCTTTCCTTTCTCCAGAAGCATGTCCCTCTAGACCAGTGGTCCTCAGGCCTGTGGGTCATGACCCCTTTGGGGGTCGAATGTCAGCTATGCTGCCTATCTGGTGTTTATATCACCATTCACGGCAGTAGCAAAATTATAGTTGTGACGAAGCAACAAAATAAGCATGTGGTCAAGGTCCCCACACTACGAGGAACTGCAGTATCGGGTCGCAGCGTTAGGAAGGCTGAGAGCTTCTGCTGCAGGGGCAGGTGCTCGGGCCTTTCCTCTCCTACAGGATGGAGCAGCTGAGGCGGAGCCAAAGCCAAAGGATAGGCAGAAGGGCAGAGACAGCCCTGAGAGGACAGTCACCATGAGGAATCGTGCTTTGCTACGGCTGACTCTTCGTGGGTCTCTGGGGGGTGGCAAGGGGCTTGTCTTTGTGGGTTTGCTTGCTTGTTTGGGGGCAATATGTCATTATTCTAGGCCTGTCTGGACCCCACTGTGCAGCCCAGACTGGCTTCAACCGGAAATCCTTCCACTTAGGCCAAGCACTGGGACAGTTTGCCTTGTGATTGAAGGGCGTGAGCCCCAGGGCCTCGGGTACCACAGGCAAGCATTCTGCCGATGCACGCTCTAACAAGCCTCTTAACTCAGAGCACCCGAGCCCGAGCTACAGCACAGGCTGGCCTGGTGCTGCGGGTGCCAGCACACCCACCTGGGCCTTCGTGTGTTTGAGGTAAAACTTGTAATTTCTCATCCTGAGTTCAGAATTAACATTAGGGCAAAGCAAAAGACAAAAACAAACTCCGAGACGTTAGAAAAATACACAAACACTATAAAGGGAAGATCAAGCGTTTGGGTTGATACTTATTGTGTTTGTTAATTGTCTCTCCATATAAGACAGAGCCCAGGCAAAGGGAGGCCTGGGCTACACATGCAGCCAACACTGCTGTGTGCTCAGACATACACACACACTCACACACACACACACACACGGACGCACACACCTTCCAAAGGATGAGGGGATGTAGAGGTGTCACAGGGAATGGCGCACCCTCTGCCGTGCCCCGCCCCTCCCCCACCCTGTGCCTCCCCTGACTCTGAGGACCACCCACCTCCATCCTCAGCTGCTGGACAGCCTGGTTCAGCCTGTTCAGGGCCTCCTTGCTGTGCCTCGGGGTCTGCACACACTTCTGCACGGAGGCCTTCATCTCCTCACACTGGGGTGGGCAGCAGAGCAGAGCGGAGGTCAGGGACGAGGAGAAGGCAAGGCTAGAGCAGCCCCGCCTGGACACCCGCTGTCCCTGCTCAGTCCTCTCCTGGGGGAGCGTCAGGTCTCCACTGTGTAGCCGGTGAAGCCGGTGCACTCCACGGCCAGTCTTGCAGATGGCGAAGAGAGCCTGGGGCACACTCACGGATGGAGATGTGTCCAAGGCGCTTAGGGGCTGAGCAACCCGGATTCACCCCAGGAACAGGGAGAGGTAAGCCCTGTGAAACCAAGCCCTGAAACCGCCGTGTGGTAACTCTTAATGTTAACGCCACTTCATATTTTTTATTAATTTGTGGTACGTGTGTGTGTGTGTGTGAGAGAGAGAGAGAGAGAGTAAGAGTCTGTGTGGAGGCCAGAGGTCAGTTTTGAGTGTTGCTCCCCCAGGACCTTAGATGTGTGTGTTTCACCTTGTTTTTTGAGACAGTCTCTCACTAGAGTCTAGGTCTTGTCCATCAGGCTAGGCTGGCTGGCCAGAGACCGCCAGGGACCCTCCTGCCTCTGGCACACAAGCACACACCACCACACCCATGTGGCATGGGTTCTCAGGACCAAACTTGGGTCCTCAGGCTGTGCGAGGAGCATGGCCTCGTGCACTGAGGTGTCTCCTCCAGCTTCCCAGGCTGCACATTAAGCCTTTGCTCTCCACTGTGAGAGGCAGGCGAAACCATACCTGCCTCCGTCTGGCCAGGACCTGCTCACACCAGCACAGTAGGAACAGACAGGGCCAGGTTCTAAAACAGCGCCTCCCACAAGTGTCTCTGCCCCCTTCCTGCCGCATGTGTGTGAGGTAAGCAGGACACCACGCACAGCTTGTGGCTGGCAGCACTTCGAAGGCCTGGCTGAATACAGAACCCTCGTCCCATGCCGCTAACAAGCCGCGTGCAAGTCTCACCATGGTAAAGGACCTTCTGGCGCCTCCAGACCTCGAGGGTGCCACAGCCGGCTCCTGCCAAAATGCTCACAACAGCCTCAGGTCTGAGCGTACTCCTTCCAGAGCTTTGTGACCTCACTTGGTTACGGATACAAGGTTCTGATTGGAGTCTTCAGACGCAGGAGATGGAAGGAGCTGTGACCCAGGCCTGAGGAGGCCCAAGGAGGCCCGGAGGGAGGGGCTTCCTCCCAGGACCCGGGTTACTGTGTGGTGTGACTCTCCCTTACTTGGTGTAATTCTATTTTTATTTTGTCACTTTTCCTTTCTCACAAAGATGGTGCATGCATGGGGCTGAGGACACAGCTTGGTGATTAAAAGCATTCGCTGCTCTGGCAGAGAACCTGGGTTCAGGTCCCAGCACCCACATGATCACAACCATCACTAATTCCAGTTCCAGGGAGATCTGACCCCCCCATCTTATGTCTCTGGGCACCGGGCACCGGGAATTACACGCTGACAAATCACTCGTGCACATAAATAACTCCGGAAGAAAAAGTCAGATGGTGTACACCCCGAAGTCCACGTGTGCACAGCATGTGATGGGCAGGTAATTTCACAGGGTGACAGGAAATTATTCCCAAGCTCGTTACCCTTTCTCATTGGTAATGTATAAAAACATCCTCTCCAGCGTAACTTTCAGCAATTAAATATATATATAACTGCATTAGCTACCTCCTTGTGGCTGGGACAAATATCTGACTTAAGAAAGAAAGGGTTAGTGGTGGCTCACAGTTCCAGCGTGCACAGTCCCTCATGGCAGGAAGGCAGCCTAAGGCTGATGCTCTGTGCCTGCATCGGGAGGTGAGAGGGAGAGAGAATGGTCCACGCCAGGCCCACGTTCTTCCTTTTTGTTCAGTCCAAGGCCTCGGCCGGTGGAAATGATGCTGTCTGTATTTATGGTGGGTTTGGTTTGTTTTCATGGAAATTCTCAGTCCCGTCAAGTTGAGGACAATCGAAATTAACCATCACAGCAATGAATCTTGGGTGCAGTCTTGCCCACCGGTGACGTGTGGCCTCTCTTCAGAGGCTGGCTATGGGTGTGTCTCCACCTGCCTGTTCCCCGTTGGGTGGTTTTCCTGATGCAACTGTGAGTGTTCTTTATTTCCTGGGATATAGCTTTACATCCACCATTCACAAGTCCTAGCTCCAAGGTTTTAGCTGGTCTTTGTTCTCTCTACGGCTTATTTGGATAAATGAAAGTCCTTAGTTTTAATGTTTAACATCAGCATCTTCTTTCGTTCATCTTCTGTGTTTTAAAATCCTAGATCTCATTGTCTCTCTTCCTAATGTGATCACATAGAATGATTGTTTCACTATCACTTGTTTGTTTGCTGGGCTTATTAAAGATGAGTGGCTGAACCTAGCCTGTTGGGGCTGACGCTGAAGAACCCCAATAACAGACTTTTAGGCCAGAGCAATGCCGAGGTACACATGAACTGGATACAAGTCAGAAAGCACCCCAAGGACATCTGCCAGTGAAGGAGAAGCCACCACAGGCTTCACTGCAGGAGACACTCGGCTCCCTCCGTTCTCTACTATGCAGGGTTCTATTTGCTCTCATAAGGGAAGCCTCATTTTTCTGGGGCTTGATTTTTAGTATTTATTTTATTGCTCATGTCTGTGTGTCTCTCTGTCTGACTGTGTGCCAGTGTGTGTCTGGCCATGTGTGCCTGTCTGTCTGTATTTGTGGATGTTTGTATCTATCTGCCTCTGTGTGAATGTGCGTCTATCTGAGTGTGTGTCTGTGTGTGAGTGTGTGCATGTGTCTGCGTGTCTATATGTTTGTCTTTCTGCGTGAGTGTGTATGTGTGTCCACACTTGAATGCTCAACACATGTAGGGTGTCTGTGGAGGCAGAAGCGTGTGTCAGATGCCCAGAGCGGTAGGTAGAGCAGGTTGTGGGATGCTTGCGTGGGTGCTGGGACTTGAACTCTGGTCCTCTGGAAGAGCAGAAGCGTTGTTAAGTGCTAAGCCCTCTCTGCACCCCCATGGGCTCCTGATGTGCCCATCTCTGGTATCTGCGTCCACTGTTGGCACATTTCTTGAAATTTTATTTCAGTGATTGTAGTTTCCAATTCTAAAAATGTCCACTGTATTCTGTTCTATTTTCTTTTCGTTCACTCGTTGAGAATAAGCAAGTGCTTTGAATGTATTTGTGTCCACTTCCCTAAAGTCTTCATTTGCTAAATTCATCATCTTGGCAACCTATTATACCAAGGTGGGTGGACCAGAGCCTGGCGGGCACACTCGCTTTCCTTGATGCCAACCCGAAGGCCTCCAGGACCCCCTACAGAAGGAAAGGAAAACAATTCATCCCCAGCAGCATTTAATGAACTCTAATAGCTCTTATTCATCTTAGAGATTTCAATCTTGTTATTTTAACAGAATAAATTAAATTTCGTGGGCTGGGGATAGCTCATTGGTAGAGTGATTGCCTGGCATGTTCAAAGTCCTGGGTTCAGTCCCTGGGGGTGGGGGGTGAAGCTTCCCTGAGCTTAGATCTAGGGAGAGTGTAGCCTGAACCACAAAGCTGGAACGGTCTTTCGTCTCTGTGTTCCCAGGATAATCAGGCTACAGCTGCTACTCAGAAAAGGTGTACAGAACGCCTGCATGAACGGACAGAGGGACAGCGTCCTGGCTCCTGCCTGCTGCGGGGACAAACATCCTGACAAAAAGCAGCTGAGGGGAGGAAAATATTTACTTGTCTCACAGTATCAAATTATAGTTCGTCATTTCCAGGGAAGTCCAGGCAAGATCTGGAGTAGCTAGTCACTGTCAAGAGCAAAGGGAAAATAAAGACTCCCTTGCCTGCTTGCGACCTTGATCCCTGCATCTTTTACATAGTGTGTGTGTGTGTGTGTGTGTGTGTGTGTGTGTGTGTGTGTGTACACATACTGCTCTACTAGCCTTAGTGGCACATGACTTTAATTCCAGATCTCAGGAGGCAGAGACAGGAGGATCTCTGTGAGTTCAAGGCTAGCCTGGTCTACATATCAAGTTCTAGGATGGCCAGGACTGCAGAGAGAGACTCTGTCTCAAGAAACAACAACTCAAACCATACATTCTTAAAAACTCACTCACTGCTCTAGCCTTATCTTTGTGTCTCCTGGACATTTGTCTACCTCCTCTGTCACTCCCTTCTGTCCCTCAGTTCCCTTCCATGGAAATGAAGACTTGGAAGAGGTTCATCCCTGGAAAATTGCCCTGTCCCTTATTTTTTTAATTATTGGAGACTGACCCTAGAGCCTTGCAAATGGCCAGCCTAGAAGCTGCACCCACAGTGCTCCAGGACACCCAAACTGTTACTGAAGGCTGCCAACAGACATGGTGTTGCAGGTGTGCAAGGGCTGGGCCCTTCACTGCTGCCAGCAGTACCTAAAGCTGTGTCCGGGGGAGCCCACGGTGGGGGTCAAAGGCCCCGCCGATGTTCTGCCTGCAAAATTCCCCCAGAGAAGCCAAAGGTGCTGAGGTGGGGTGTATAGAAAATGCAGCTGAAGATGCATCCAGACCCCAGTGCTAGCGGGCTCCATTGCCAGAACTCACACAAAGCCACCCAGTGGTGACTCTAGACCCACAGGGCAGAGCCACAGGAGGAAGAGCTTGGTCTGCTGTGTCCCTCGTTGCCACCCATTTATAAACCCAGATAGCAAGGGCCTCTGCCTCCCCAGGTCTAGGCCATTTGTCACTTACGGGCTTGGAGGATGTTGCCCATTTCTCCTTCCCCCTGGGCTCACATCATGAAGTTGGACCTTTGGCAAATCCTGTGTTCTAGTCGATGTGAAATCTCAGCAGGCTTCTTTCTCCGTTGAGGCTTGGGGACGTCCATTTGCCAAGTTCCACCAGGGCCCCTGAACACTGAGGGCAGCAGGGGGCAGAGGGAGGCCACATCAGGCTGTAGCCTTTGGATTACTAGCCAGGCTCCAAACCTTGGCTTTTCAGTTGGGCCACGGGATAAGCTGTGGCCGCAGACAAAGGGCAGGCCGTCCCCACTCTGCACGGGGCACCTTGGCGGCGTTGAGACAGAGAGCCTACACAGTTACTCTATACTGACAGTTTGCTGTCCCCTGAGCACCGTGCTGACCTGGTGTGGACGCCCCTCACCTTACCCTCTTGGTGCTCTGGACAAGTCTGATTAGAGCAGTGCCAGCTGGGCAACTGGGGCTCGGATACTATGTACGGTTTCTCTCCAGTGAGGATGGCGGAGCTTGACAAGTGTGCCACAGAGAAGAAAGGGTACTTTCGAGGTACTGCATCGCTGTTCACAACCTTTCACCCTGAAGTCATCAGAAGTAGTGGGGGGGCAAGTGAGCGCGTGCACACAGCACTCCCTCTGTTCTCTGACCTTCCCAGTCCTCACACTCGCCAGATCTGACCAAAGAAGCATCTCCCCCAAGAACCTGCCCTAACCTGCTCCAAAACCCCAAGCTGAGGCTCACACAGGCAAACGTCCATTTGGCTTTTGGGGTTCTATGCTCATTCCTCTACTGCTCCTACACAGAACCTGTGCGTGCCGGCCCCGACCCAGCTGACCTCCCCGCTCGCTCTCTGAGCCCGGTTGCTGCTGGGCATAATGACCAAGACAAAACAGCAGCTCCACCCAGATAGGTATGCCAGAGATGAAGGGCCAAGGCCGTGCTTTGCCGAGCTTCCCAGGGCTGAGGCGGGCACGCCCCCTCACCCCTCAGCATTAAGCCTCTGATGCAGATGTCAGTCCTGGATTGCCTCCCGTATTTCTTATGATGCAGCGTACTTCTCTCCCGAGTGCCAAGAACAGTAAAGGGACGGCCAAGGAGCATCCGCCAAGGAGCATCCCAAGGCTAGACCAGGTGCTGGTGTGAGTGTTTGGAGGGCCACTGTGACCTGCCTGTCAAGATACCCCTTTCAGGGAGCCTGCAGTTCTCCCAATCTGTGGGTTTCATGAGCACACAACTCT